ATTAATTCTGACTTCTGTGAGCAAATTTCCTTTATGTACGTCAGCATATTTCGATTTCAGCTCTTTATATTTTGTACAATATATATATATGCACGTGTATATACATATACACATATACACAAATATTTATTTATTTATTTTTCTATTTGATTGTCAATTTATTATCAAAAGAGCAATAGAACTTATAAAAAAGAAAAAGAAAAGAAATTGTATAAATTTAATGATACCCAGTTTCACTCCCCACTTAAGCCAACATTTTTGCCTTTTCTTCCAAATTTCTCAAGTTCGATAATAATTTATTTGTTGGTTTGAAAATCAATCCCAAGCGTCGAACCCATTGCCATTCAAATGTTATATTTTAATACTTTTTCGAAAAGCTGCTAATCCATAAATGCAAGATTTTTATTGCTAAGCTGAAGCTGATCTACAGAAGAAAATGTTTTAATTAGCGGGCTGGCACTGTATTAAGTATGTCTATATATTTATATACTTGCACCTGTTCGGGCGGCATCCTTTGGTTGTGCCCCATAAACGTAAATCTCTCGAAAGTATGCAACACTTTTTCTCGCCGCCTGCTCGACGGTTATTAACTTAGGGGCGTGAGCGTGTGTGGGTGGGTGGGCGTTGCTGCGCTTCGAGTGATGAACTTAATAATAAACGATGTAAATATGATAATTTCTCACAGGATGTGGCATCTAATAATAAAATCAAAATAATCCCCGCCAAGCGCCAAGCGCCGACGCGCAAAAGTCGCAAAGTCAGAAAAGTCAACACGAGCGAAAAGCAGGAGTCAGGACTCCTGCCAACTGACAACGGCACAGCGGGCGGCGAAATCTGTGGGTGGAGTACAATGATAGTCGGTCGGAGGGTCGCTTGGCTAGCTGGCCGGGTGGGGCAGGAAAATATTCAATTCGTTGCATCCTTCCTGAGATTTGACATTGGTATATGTTAAGGAGTCGCTGTGTCTCTGCCAGTTTAATTGATTTGTTTTTTATGCCAAAGAGGATTACATGTTGTTCTGCCAGAGCTTACAGCTGAACTACACCCAAAGCGAGTGTGAGAGTGGCGGGGGAGGGGCAGGCGCTGAGCTGGGCGAGGGTTGAGTGGCTGCACGTGGCCCTTTGTGACTTTTGGTCCAGCATTTACCACCAACTGCGCAGGTGAGCTGCGCCTCGGTATTGCTCGCGTCTAGATAGCTATACATCTATATAACATCCCATGCTATATATGTACCTTTGTGTGTATATGTATGTCTTTTCATATAGCGCATGGAGCAGTGGGCGCCGCTTTGTTTGGCAGCAGTTGCCGCATGGAGTTCGCCCGAAACAGTTCGCACTTTTGCGCTCTGACCTTAAGAAAATTAAAAAAAAAAATTATAAATAAATTGTAATCCGTTTAACAAGAATCACGAACAAATATTCAGCTTTTAATAAATATAGTAAATAATCGTAAAGTGAAGCAAAGACATAAAAAAAGCCAGATCACATACACAGAAAAATAAATAATAATAAAAGAAATAATTTCAATTTGGGTCAATTCCGCGCAAGCAAATATTGTATATATATATTTGTTATACAATTGAATTTTTCTGGGAATATGTCGCTATAAAGTTTCTTGTGTTTCCAAACGATAAAGTGCTTCAGTTCCAGGCACAATGAGCGTCAGCGTCGACGTCGGCGTCATGTGGCGCCTCTCGGAGGATTTGAATAGACGCTTCGGGCTGCGCATGCAGCCTGCACCGCCGGCAACACATCATCCGCACCACCATACGACCGTGCATCATTATCACCATCAGCACCACCATCATGGCCATGCTGCTGGCACCACGCATAGCGGCCATAGTTCCATGATCTTCAATGGTAAAGCATATGGCATTTCCGGACACGAATTGGCATAAGAATAGAAATACCAAAAGCTTGATAGAATTTGAGGAAGCAAATTCCGATCTCTTGCTTGCTCACTTGATCTCGCGCTCTCCCTCTCTCTCTCTCTTTCCACGTTTGTCGCTCTCTTTCTGTCTCTTTATTCGTGCGCGTCTTTTAGCGGAACTGTCTTCTCCTGACCATGAGTCACCTGGAATTATGTTGATTGCAGCCGACAATTTTTTCATATGAGGGAAACTTTTTGAATACCCTAGGCAGATAGCAAATTGATACGTTGATACATTGATACGATATATATATATAGTATAGATAGCCTAACTTTGTAGTTTTTAGATTGATATATTGATAGATTCGATCATGTTGAATATTATAATAAAGTATACTATATAATGTTTTATGAATGACAAAAAGTTAATGTTGTATATATCCAAGCGTAAATTATAGTACGGCAGAGTCGAGTACACAGGGAGTATAGTATATAGTGTCAGTATTAATCGGCAATAATGCAATATTGTTGCCTACGTTCGTCCGATCTTAATGGTGCTACCCAGCTTAGAACTTTTTGTAAGATTTAGAATCGTATATATATTATTTTAATAAATAGCCCACTCGTTTAAAATAGATAAATATCAATTAGATATTAACATATGAATATCAAAGACCGAAATAGATAGTACAAATATTTAATATCAATATCTTTCTGTTATAAAGCAGTTGAATATACATATACTTGATTAATAAATCTTACCTCAATCTGATCATTTAAATTAATTAAATTTTGTTAATTTTCATTAAATATTTTAAGCACTATTAACAGTTTAAGACCTAAGATTCAATAGACAGTAAAAAAACAGAAATAAATAAAAAAATAAAATTTAGACATTAATTATAAATATTTATTTTCTTAATATTAAAATTTATTACGTTGCATGACAATGATTATTTCTGTGAATACTCAAATAGGTTTACAAATTCTCGGCTAACCTTTAGGTATATCAAATCAAGTTTACAAGTCCTCTAGCTGTTAGCTAGCTACTCAGTTTTACAGTGCAACTGCTATAGGGTATCTTTAGCCTAGTCGACCGTTGGCACCTGCTTGGGAGCCTGTTCTAGGCCTTTCACGTCCGCTGATGGCGGGAATATCCCAAGCTCTAGCTTGAGGATTTATGTGTATTTGCGGTGGTTTTTCTGTGGAATCGGGCCTGGTCGGCTTATGGTCTTTCATTTGGTTTGCATGCCACGTTACCAACGCCTTGTCCAGGCAGCAACCACCCCGCCCGACCGCGCAGCCATTGACCAGCAAATCTCGTTTGATGCGAGTTTAAGCGTCCGCTCCCTCTCACTGCTGTTGTCTGTCTCTTAATGTTTGCGTGTGTGTGTGTGTGTGTGCATATATAAATTGCCGTATGTATCTGTTGCCTGATTGTCTGTTTGTCTCTGTTTGCGCTTTTTTCTTTTTTAGATCCATATCAGCTGCTGAACGCTGCCTCGCACCGATTGGTCGCTCAGGGCTCGGGCGGGCAGATACAGTTATGGCAATTTCTGTTGGAGCTGCTCGCTGATTCGTCGAACGCCAACTGCATCAGCTGGGAGGGCCAATCGGGCGAGTTCCGGCTCATCGATCCGGACGAGGTGGCCAAGCGCTGGGGCGAGCGCAAGGCCAAGCCAAACATGAACTACGACAAGCTGAGCAGAGCTTTGCGGTAAGTCACCACGAACTAAAAAAAAAATTCCAGCTCTCTGAGTCATACCACAAACAAGTTTTCAATTCTATTTGCCATTTGATTTGTTTTTCATCTCTTTTGCAGCTATTACTACGACAAGAATATCATGACCAAGGTGCACGGCAAGCGGTATGCGTACAAATTTGATTTTCATGGCCTGATGGCCGCTTGCCAGGCGCAGGCACAGGGCTGTGATCCGGCCAGCAGCATGATTAGTTCCTATAAGCATCATCATCATCATAAAAAAAATCCACATGCCGCCGCTGGCGGTGGCCCACATGCGCTGCCCGCACAGCATCTGCCGCACCACTTGGCGCATCATTCCCATCATGGCCATCATTCGCATGTGCATCCTCATCCGCATCAGTTGCTGCATCCGCATGCCGCTGCCGCCGCCGCCGCTGCAGCCGCTGGAGAGCTCGCAAAAAAAACTTCGAATTGCTCCAGTTTGGGATTCCCGTCGCCCTCGACAGCCTCGTCGCTGCCCTCGCCTGCCCAGGTGTCGTCCGTATTTTCTGGCCCGGGCGGTTATACAAACGTCGCGCCAACGGGCTCCACGGCGGGCTCCAGCCAGTCGCCAGAGCAGGAGCCCAGGGCATCCACAGCCAAAAAAAATGTGACCTATGAGCAGCGAATTTAATTGCAATGGCAAATGGCCAACCCCAATTAAAAAAAGGTTGATTTTTTATGTGGGGCGGGGGGTCGGGCTTGCGCAAGTGCCGCCCGCTGCGCACAAGCCGAGCCAGTTGCCGTATCTCCATCTCGCTCTGGCCGCCAGGGGTCACACTGTAAAAAAATCATTTCGCTTAATTCCAGCTACTTTTGGTTTAATTACGTAATTTCTCATATGTGATAAATACATGGAGCAATGCAACCAACAAAAAAAAAAAAAAAAAAAAAAAAAAAAAGTTAAGGAAAAGGAAGCAATACATGTAGAAAGTATCCGGGATCTAACCCGGCCTGACTAATTTGTTACAACGTCTGTTAAATGTCGCTTTTAAGCCCACATACTTTACTTTTAATGCGTGTGTCTATGTACATATTATTTAAATAACTATAATTATAAGTTCATAAACTGGACATGAAAAAAAGGAAAACAAAAAAATTCACAAATAGAAATACACTCTGAGAAAAAAATACGCAAAAACTTGTTTCAATTAAAGTTAAAGCTAGTTAAGGGGATGAAATGAATGAGAATATCTCCTAGTCGGGTACTCCCTACTCGAGCATGGAATGGTATATAAATATTCTTTATAAATAACCTTCAAATAAGCAGTTTTGTAATGATTTTTGAATTATATTTATAACTTGCTTAAGCTTTATTCAAAACAGAAAAAATATAAAGTGTTTTTCTCTGAGTATTGTAGTACCAGTTATACATATATATATCTATACAAAAATCTATTTGAAGGAGATGTTTTTTAGGATTTTAGGCAACATAAACAATGCTCAACACCATGAAAACCAGACTAAAGGCAACGAAACAAATACGATCCACGGCTGTGGCCAACAGCACCCAGTCGAACTGTAGGGCACGCGCTGAGGGCGTGTCAGTGGGATTGATGTCCAGTGGACTGGTCATATCCTCCACACTGTTGTATAGATTCTCAGCCATCTCCTTGGGTAAGCCATTGCTTTGCGTTGCGGGCAGCTCGGCGTCGTTGGTGAAGTGCGAGAGCATGAGGCAAGAGCCCAGTTTGCCATTCAGCAGACGTTTTACTATATCCGGCACGCGACGTTTATGCTGTGCCGTGGCCAGGTAGAGCACCACGACCTCAATAATCGTGGAGATGCTGAGCACCAACAAGCTGGCGCTGTAGAACAAAACTGCAAAGAAGAATTAGTTAAGGAAATTAAAGGGGAATGAAAAACTTCAGCTTACCAATGAGCGGCGTATTCCCGCCCAGCACGGGCAGCAGCTGGGCAAAGTACATAAGAAACGAGGCAATCATGAGGATGAGTATGCCATTGAGCATTATCTTCTCGCCCATCTTCGGCGGCAGCCAGAAAGCGGCCAGCGTGAGGAGCACTATGCAAGAGGCCGGCGTAAAGATGATTGCTTTATACATGCTGGAGCGACGCTGTGTCGTAAATATAAACTCCACGTAGCTGTAATAGTCCTTGTGCACAAACTCTGTCCGGCCGCTGACAATTTCCCACTCGCTCGACTGCACCAGGTCATCATAGTCGATCACCTTGTTGTAGGCCGCATTCAGATTGCTCACCGACCAGGTGCCAATCTTGAGCTTGCATATCTGCTGATCGTACGGCCAATTGATCATGTTCAGCGCGCAGTAAGCCGTGTAGACAGCTGGCGGCACCCACAGGAAGCTGCCATCATTGGACAGGATAACCTGCGTGCTCACAGGATAGTTGCCCTCATCGGCGGCGGCATTGAAGATCATTATCTGTGGCTTCCAAACCTTGTTGTCCGGTATATGCAGCTTGGTAATGTTGTCATATTGCTTTATATTCCATGAACGCTGCTCATCCATCCAGCGCTGCAATAAGTAGTAGCAATCCAGTCGGATTAAGTTGCTGACTAAGCATGCCTTTGTTACAATCTACACTTACCACAGTCAGCCAACAATGGAGCGTGATCTTGCCGTTCAGCTCATCGATATCTAAGTAGTTCACCGATAGACCAAGGCTTACGTTTGTCGCTTTGCCCTGAATTGTGGGCTGAACGTTTGTATCGTAGTTAACGAAGAGATTCATTTGTAGCCGATCCAGAGTGCTCACATTGGTTGACTTCGTATCGGGGTCATCTAAATGGCCCGGCGTGCCTGATCAGAAGATTTTAATAAACGCGTGAAGATATTTATATTACTTATTGCACTTACTACTGGCGCTTGGCACGGAAACAAGCAGGCACACCAACACCAACAACGACAGCAGCCCACGACCGGAAATCAATGTTTTTATCTTGGTCGACATTGTTGTTCCTCAAGTTCACAATGTGCTTGTTTTTGTGGATCAACAATTCACTTATTCTAAGTTTAATGTGAGCTCGTCGGTCTCTGGATAACGACTGAGCGTCGAACCGAAAGCCACCAGAGGGTTTCGCACATGGCTGCAGCCTCTGATAAGGCCAACGGCATAGCTGCCACCGAGAGTTATACAAGATAACACAAGCGCTGATTTGTGCAGTCAAATGAAAGTATCTGCAGTACATACAGTGGTTAATGGAGCCGCCTACACTAAATATTTGGCAGCTAACTTTTTCAAAATAAGATTTAAGTAGTAACGGTTTATCATTAGATGTGACAGTTGATAATGCCGACAGTGCCATTTTGAGCATAACATGTACATAACAGAGACTTGTCAACGTATTTTATTTATCATCCTCTAAGTGCAGTTTCAAGAGAGTTACTTAACGAGAAACGCAGCATTAATATTTAATATTAATATTTAATGAAATTTACTTTAATATTTTAAATACATACCGCTAATTTTAATAAAAATATATACTACCGTGCTTGACTTACCTTTACTGTTTAAGTCGATAAGTGAGCATGTTATCGGCCATCACTAGCGTTGACGTGTGCGTCGTTTGCAGCTATTGCTGTTGTTGTTGTTGTTGTGTGGCTGCGTGTCACAATTGCTACCCCCCAATCGTGAGCAACAAGGATTTTCAATAGAAATCGTCAAGGGCAACGAAAATATAGAGTTAAACTTAGCTGAGATAAAGTCAGCACAATAGTAGACATGGCGGAGGAAGTCATTGGCAGCGTGAAAAAGGCAATTCAGGGCATATTAGAGAATGTGAATGCAAGTGCGAAAAATGAAACAATTACAAACGAAAAGAAGCCATCCACGCCAGAAGGCATCGCCGTGGCGTATAGCAGCCTGGTCATAATGGCCATGCTGCCCATTATTTTCGGTTCCATACGCTCGGTTAAACTGCATAAACTGAAAAAGGTGTGTGCGTGTGTGTTCGTACTTGAGCCGCTCTATTGTGGCATGCTTTCACTCTTTACTTAACTTTCACATGTTTTCCGTAGTCGACAGGCGAGAAGGCAGACACAATGACCAAGAAGGATGCCATGTACTTTCCACTTATCGCATCTGTGGCACTCTTTGGCCTGTACATGTTCTTTCAGATCTTTCAGAAAGTTCACATCAACTTGTTGCTAACCGGCTACTTCTTTGTGCTGGGAGTTATTGCGTTGGCCCACCTGCTCAGCCCAGTTGTCAACTCGTTGATGCCAGCTGCTGTGCCCAAAATACCATTCCACATACACTTCACCAAGGGCGAAGGTAAGCACAAGGAGGACATCATCAACTACAAGTTCTCCACGCACGACATCATCTGCCTAATGATCTCATCGGCAATCGGCGTTTGGTATCTATTGAAGAAGCACTGGATTGCTAATAATATGTTCGGTTTGGCTTTCGCCATCAACGGCGTTGAGATGTTGCATTTGAATAACTTTGTAACTGGTGTTATATTGCTGAGTGGACTCTTCTTCTACGACATCTTCTGGGTATTTGGTACCAATGTCATGGTCACTGTGGCCAAGAGCTTTGAGGCGCCCATCAAGCTAGTGTTTCCCCAAGACATTCTCGACAATGGCTTCAACGCCTCGAACTTTGCCATGTTGGGTCTTGGCGATATCGTTATTCCGGGCATCTTTATTGCCCTGCTGCTGCGATTCGATGACAGCAAAAAGCGCAAGACGCGCATCTACTTCTATTCTACGTTAACTGCCTACTTTATGGGTCTCTTGGCTACGATCTTTGTGATGCACGTCTTCAAGCATGCGCAGCCGGCGCTGCTCTACCTAGTGCCCGCCTGCATGGGCACCCCGCTGCTGGTGGCCCTGGTCAGAGGCGAGCTGAAGGTGCTCTTTGCGTAAGTCGTCGCACATTCATCCCGCTGAAGCCATAAATAAAACTGAACTTTTTCTTCTCCATAGTTATGAAGATCATCCTGAGGAGAAGCCGGAAAAGAAAGAGAAAAAGGAGAAAGACGAGAGTGGCAGCAGCAGCAGCAGTAAGAAGAAAGATTCCAAAAAAGCAAAATAATTCATTAAATGAATTCCCTGCTTTTCTTTCCCTCTCTTTTCCCTTTTACAAAATTGCTTACAAGTCTTCTATTTTTAACGAGTAACAAGTTATAAGCACATCGTAAATTGTATACTTCGCGATTGAGTTTCTATTTTAGCGTCCTTTAATGCAAATTTCCATCAGATAAAAAAGACGATTTGACTATTAAGAACTTAGGATTATTCCTGGACACGGCACAACCACCAATGCGTTCGATTAGGCTTAAACGCTTTGAGATCATAGTTTGCAAATCCTTTTTTTGAACAAAATCAAAAGTCCATAAGTCTATAGAAATGAGCTGTAACAAAATTAAGTACATATAAGAACAATAATAAAACGAAATATTCCAAAACAGCGGTGATAATCTCAAATACAAATTCTCCGTTGCAAGAAATATCGATTATTGGATATCGGTGAGGAAGAATTTTATACAGCAGTCGGTGATTTTCATGTTGGTTTACATAAAAATATCGATAAATATATACATATGTATCTACTGACAGTTCATTTATTGATTTCATTGTTATCACTTTGTTATCAATGAAAAGAAACTAATATAGAAGAGTGTTCGTTGCGTTATCTGGTATATTGTGGATTTTTGGTCATTCATTTACTGGTCACACCGTTTTTAATGTGTGGCGTATCGATGTATTAATATTTTCTACCATCCCTAATGCAAGCCGAAGCCGTCAAATTGCGCTAATTTTGGGTAAAAATTTTCCAGTTTTGTGGAAAAAACGCAAAGTTGCAAATAGTTTTGGCTGTTTAGGACAGCAAACTCGAATCGAAGGTATGTATGCAAGTTAGAATGCAAAATATTTCACTATTTTAGCGTTAATAGTGTGCATATTTTTTGCACAGACGCAAGCAGCGTGTACATCGGAGATAGAAGCAGAAAGACAAAAAGGAGAAACAGCAATACATTTCGCAAAAACGACAAGCAAGAGGTGCAAAGCACACAATGTCCGGAATTGCAATAACACGATTGGGCGAGGAGCGTAAGGCTTGGCGAAAGGATCATCCATTTGGCTTTGTGGCCCGACCGGCTAAAAATCCTGATGGCACATTAAACCTCATGATCTGGGAGTGCGCTATTCCCGGAAAGAAATCGACACCCTGGGAGGGCGGCTTGTACAAGCTGCGCATGATCTTTAAAGATGATTATCCAACCTCTCCACCAAAATGTAAATTTGAACCGCCACTTTTCCATCCCAATGTGTATCCATCGGGTACCGTATGCCTCTCGCTGCTGGACGAGGAGAAAGACTGGCGTCCTGCCATTACAATCAAACAGATTTTGTTGGGCATTCAAGACTTGTTAAACGAGCCAAACATCAAGGATCCTGCCCAAGCGGAGGCATACACCATTTATTGTCAGAATCGATTGGAGTACGAGAAGCGAGTACGTGCACAGGCGCGTGCCATGGCTGCCACTGAATAGAGTGTAATACAGAAGAAGAAGAAAACAGGCACTATCAGAGAATACCGCTACTCTCTAAGAAAGCACACAGACACACAAATCAACGTTAATAATGGGCAGGCAGTCAAGTGATCATCTAACACACACACACATATATACACACACACACACACACAAACCAACATTTAGGAACGAGGCATTTTCGTGAATGCCTCTTCTAATTACAAAACATTTTAATATCTCTAAGCTGATTTAAAAATAATAAAAACAAAAAGAATAAATAGTAAAAACAAAAACAAGATGAATTCGGTTTGCACCAATTATAAATTATAAATATATATATGCATATAAATTACTTAAAATTACAATTACATCATGTAGAATCCCTTATTTCACAGCACTGTAATTTTCGCATTATTTGTGTTTCAATAAATTTATATGATATATTTAATAACATCTAAACGTTGTCTCACTAATAATACAAGGTAATCATTCGATTTGATTCCGAATGGCCAACACAGTCGATGCTGACGTCATCTCTTGCCAACGTGGCAAATATACTTGACCTCTAATGATCGCCGGGAATATCTTAGAAAACAGCTAGCTATAGATTTAGGTTAGTGTTTGGTCCTTGGAGTTTGGTGTTTGAGTTAACGCTCTGACGAGGTTGTGGGATAAAAGGAAATTCTTATGAAATTATCATAGAAAGCATTAAATTTTATTTCTCACCCTGAAAGTAGGCAGAAGAAATTTGATTTCTGTTAGCTAATTGATCATATGTATAACATTCAGAAAGTCCTTTATTGATTAGAGCATAGTGAATGATGAGCTTTATTTGGCATATTACTTTCCATAGTAATATGTATATTACAAATTAATATCTTGCATAGACTTTTTGATTTTGTATCAGATTAAAACATAATTTGGCACTACTATTTTCAGATGTAAGTTCTATACAAATTCAGTGAAAAGTTTACTTACTTCAATGTTCAGCCATATATGTGACCTAAATAAAAAATTTGTATAAAAGTTGAAATAAATGTGTTTTAATATTTCTAGCTGTACTGAAATATAGAACAATATTTATAAAACTGAAAAGAATTTCAAAATATATTTATAAATTTACAACTGAAAATGTTCACAAATATTTATGAAAATAAAAAAAAAAAAAAAACGAATTTCGAGGCGAATTTCTTAACAACTGAAAAATTTCCAGAAACATTGAAAAAATGATAGAAATTAATAAAGCTGAACAATCATTTGTTTTCCAATTACTAGCAATAAAATATATTATAATATCCTTAGAATACAAGTCAGATTTATATATTGTATATTTTATTTTGAATAAATTAATTACTTTTATTGTCGCACACTCTTAATAAATACATAAAGTACATATACATATACACATATCTTGTCTATATGTATATTTATATATATTTAAATTACACAGTTTTATTTGTTATATAAGCTTGAACGCTGTTGGATTTACAATAATTATTATGGATATTATTGGATCTATTAGGATTATATACCGTTTAACCCAATCGTGGAGAGACTCCACATTAATATTTTTGGGTAGTTCGAGGAGCATACTCCCTGGATATACTATGATCTATTTCGATATCGAAAAACTTGTAGTTTCTTGCACTTCAATTGTGAATTCTTCTCTAAGTGGTAAGCTTTGGCATGCATTATATGTCATGATTTCTACAGTACAAATATATATATATATATGTATATATATATATTCGTATATATACATCCATGTCTTTATGTATATCTATATATTGCCTGGATATTATATATTAGGATCTGTCTATCTTCGCAGGGGGGAACAGTTGGAGATTCTCCGGAAATACTTTCGATACTGTGTCGGTGGTTGTGGTGGTGTTGGTGGTTGATGTTTGTGGTTGTGTTGGTGGTTGATGTCTGTGGCTGCGCGGTTGTGTGGTTGGCTCAGAAGCACTTGTAGTACCATTCCAGCTGCTTGCGCTGCACCTCCCACATCAGCTGGCTCTCTCAAATGGCCGCCTCCTGCAGATTCTCCTTGTTCTTCTGCAGCAACAGCAGCTCGCTGGGCGACTGCAGCGGCATGGCGGCGCCACCGACGCCCACCGTGGGACTGGGGCTATCGGTGGCCTCCGGTCGATGCAGCTTGCTCTTGCAGTAGAACTGTTTGTGCGCCAAAAAGGTTTTCACATAGTTGAACGATATGTCGCAGGTGGAGCAGTATTTCTTCATGGCCTCCGCAGCGCTCGGCCCCAGCGGCGAATTGGCCATTGGTGGCGGCAGTGTGGCTGGGGTCAGCTCTATGCCCATGTCCAGTGGCTCGGCTTTGATGTGCGTGTGCGGCGTGTCAATGGGCGAATTGTTGTTATCGTGCACCAGACTCAGCGTGGCCACAGCTGGCTCCAAGGGCTCCGACTTGATGTGGAAACTGAAATGGATAGAGAAGACTCCATGAATTATAGACTCTAAAGTGTTATCAAAAGTGTATAGCCAAGGTTCGTTGGCAGTGCCCAACTGGGAATCAATTGACTATAGGTTTAGAGTATCTCCTAGTCAGGCACTCCCCCACTCTATCCCGACATATATAGGTCATATGCTTACCTAGCCGCCTCGCGTTCGCCATTCACCAGCGTCACATCGGGCAGGGCATGGGCATTGACATCCTGCTCGCGGGACTCGGGGGAGATGGAGGGCGAGCTGATTGCCACGTGTGGATGCAACAGTTTCATGTGGCGTAGCTGTTGAAGGAGAATATTATAATTAGAGTTCAGGCTGCCCAGCATCGTCATCTGTCTGTCAGAAGCACTCACCACATTGCCCTTGTAGGTGGAGGCATAGTTGCAGTGATCGCAGTTGAAGATCTGTGCCGCATGCTGTTCCAGCTGCTCCTGGGCCGCTGTCACGACGGGCAGGTCCAGACCCATGCTTGAAGGTGGCGGGGCGGCTGGTGCAGCTGCAGCCGCCGCATCCTCCTCGAAGATGCAGGTCATGTAGTGCTCCTCGTTGACATCGCTGGTCTTCTTATCGAAGTGGGTGCGTATGTGGGTCCTCATGCCGCGCAGCGTGTTGCCCTTGTACTGGCAGATGCTGCAGCGGAATGCCTTCACCGTGCCGTGCATTTCCATATGCTTGCGGGCCAGCGCAGCGGTGGGGCTGACCACCCCGCACACCGGGCACTTGTTCACGCTGTTCGCCACAGCCGCACTGGCCGGCGCCAGCTGGGGCGTGGCTGGGGGCGTCGGGCATGGCTGGCCGTGATCGTGCAGCGTCTTGCACTTGACGCACTTCTCCTTGGGCAGCGGCAGCTGGGGCGTGGCTGCCTCCGCGGGCGTGGCTGCCGCCCCGCCCTTGGGACAATAGTAGTTCTGGTGCGCGCGCAGATTATCCAGCGAGGTGTACTTGATGCCGCAGGCGGCGCAGATCAGCTGCTGATAGGCCACGGGCGTCGTCTCCAAGGGGGAGGCGCCGGCAGGCACGCCGGGGCCCGCTGCGGCGGGCGGTGACACTGCATTCTTGGAGTCACCATCCACGCCCGCGTCCTGGTTGCGGGCGGAGCAGTAGTGCTGCTTGTGCGCCAAGTAGTTCTCGTACTTGCAGAAGACTATGTTGCACTCCTTGCACTTGGACACGCCCTGCTTCACATAGATCTGCGGCTGGCTGTTGGGCGCATTGGCTGCGACTGTGGCCACAGCCGGAGGAGGGGCGGCGCCGGACTGGACTGGACCGTAGCCCAGCTTGCTGGCCAGCTCGGCGCTGCTGCTGCTGCCCGCCACAGCCGCTGCAGCGGCAGCAGCCAGTTTGAGCGCCAGCTCCGGATTGGTCTTGGCCAGCAGCGATTCGGATAGTGCAAAGTCGCCGGGCAACATGGAGCGCAACGGCTGCAGATTGTCCAGCAGATGGGGCACGGCCAACGCTGGCGGCGACATGGAGGCAGCGCTGCCCGCACCGGAGCTGCGCGGACTGATCGCACGTCGCTTGGGCGACGGACTCATCGAGGGGCTGCTGGGCAGCGAGGGCGCGCACACAATCTGCTCCGGGGTCACGCTGCCACCGGTTCGGCCGCTGCTCTCCAGGTTCTCCTTGCCGGCGCTGAGCAGCGCTTCCTCCATCAGGCGCTGGCGCTGCAGCAGCGGCGAAATGGGCGAGCGACGTAGGGATAGGTCTAGGGGCGTGGTATCGCTGTGAAGGGCAATTGCAAGGGCGAAGGTGAGTTGAGGTTACTTTTGGATTGAGCCTGGACTTACCGCATGCCACTGGCTTCCTTGCGTTTGGGCTCCGGCGGAGTGGTTTTCGATTCTGTTTCCGGGACGTTACTGGCGCTGGGACGCTCGGGTTCCTGGGCGGGCATGCTCAATTGATTGCTACTAGGCATGGGCGTGCCTGTGGGCGTGGGCGTGGCATTTCCCGCTAGCGCATTGATATTGAGCGCCGTGGCCAGCGGCTTGAGGGCGCCATTGTCAAGGGTGAAGCATGTGGACTCCGGATTGACAATGCCCGACGTGGAGGTGGTGCTGCGAATGGGATGAAGATTGGCAGCGGTTAAGCCAAGCTCTTAAGTTGAACAGCTGCAAGTGATTAGCTAACGAAGCCTCCGTTTCACTCCAGGCTATACTCACAGTGGTCCGGGTATGAGGCTGGCGGCGCGTATTAGCGAGCAGGGCACTATGATGATGGGATTGGTGGGCAGTGCCAGGAAGGGTTGCGGCGGTGCCACCTGCAGCGAGGCGGCAGCTGCAGCAGCCGCCGCCGCAGCCGCCGCAGCAGCAACCATTGCAGGAGTCGGCGTCTTGTTGCGCGTCTGCGGACTGTGGGCCCCACTGTGCTTAGCTCCTGCGGCCGCAACTGCTGCTGCAGAGCCTCCGGTGTTGCTGCTGGCGTTCGCCTCCGGCTTGGGCGTCAGCTGGCCATCGCTGCGTCGGGAGCTGCAGTAGTGCTGCTTGTGGGCGCGATAGGTCTTGATGTTGTTGAAGCGGATATCACAGTCGCTGCAGTAGCGATCGATTTGCTGCGAGGGGGGCGAGGGAGGTGCGTTAGTTATATTTGGGCTGGGCGCTGACCTGCTCGTCAACCAACTCACTTGACTAGAGCTCTCCTCGAGCGCACTGGCCGCAGCGGCCGCGGCGGCGGCGGCAGCSACCACGCCGTTGGCCGCCAGTCCGGAGAGGCTGTTCAGGGTGGGCGCGGCGGGCGAGGTCTGATGCATGCGCATGTGCCGGTTGAGGGAGACCTTCTTGTCGGCGCTGTAGGAGCACTGCG